ATTATTTGTCCTAGAGTACGGTTTCTCAACCTGGGGGTCGGGACTCCTGTGGGGATCACGAGGGGGTGTCAGAGGGGTCGCCAAAGACAATTAGAAAACACAGTATTTTCTGTTGGTCATAGGGGTTCTGTGTGGGAAGTTTGGCACAATTCTATCATTGGTGGGGTTCAGAATGCTCTTTGATTGTAGGTGAACTATAAATCCCAGCAACTACAGCTCCCATATGTCAAGGTCTATTTTCCCCCAAACTCCACCAGTGTTAGCATTTGGGCATATTGAGTATCTGTGCCAAGTTTGGTCCAGATTCATCATTGTTTGAGTCCACAGTGCTCTCTGGATGTAGGTGAACTACAACTCCAAAAACTCAAGGTCAATGTCCACCAGACCCTCCCAGTATTTTCTCTTGGTCATGGGAATTCTGTGTGCCAAGTTTGATTCAATTCCATCATTGGTGGAGCTCAGAAGACTCTTTGATTTTAGGTGAACTATAAATCCCAGCAACTCCCAACATTCCCAAATGACAAAATCAACCACCCCCATCCCACCAGTATTCAAATTTGAGCATATTGGCTATTTGGGATTGAAAATACATCCTGCATATCAGATATTTACATTACGATTCATAACAGTAGCAAAATGACAGTTATGAAGTAGCAACAAAAATAATGTTATGGTTGGGGGTCACCACCACATGAGGGACTGGATTAAGGGGTCACGGCATTAGGAAGGTTGAGAACCACTGGTATAGGTGATTCTGATATTGGGTGTCCTTGTATAGAACATTGGAAATAATAGAGTAAGATGAGAAAAATACATCCACTGATTTAGAAAATGCCTCAAATAGCGACATGTATTCCTCTTATTTCCTTTTCATGATAATTTGACCAAAAAGTGCACATCTTAATTGAGATCAGGGACCCAACTTGCAGAAAAGTCAAAGATTTAAAAACAGAACGTATTGTAATGGATCTCAGACAATTAAGCCTACTAATTGGAAAATTATGGGTTGGCATGTATGTTACCAAATCCATCACTGCTTGTTTACAAAGAGTGGTGTTGATAGTTTGCATAAATAATAGTTCTCATAGCTAACGCAGCATCCTCTGAGAACATTTTTGACAGGTTTATTGAAATATTTAATGGGTGAAATTTTAAAAGTATATTCCTGATGTTAATCTTATTAGTGCAATTAAAGCAGTAAGTGTGACACGAGAACTACAATGTGACATGAGTCTAAATGGGATATATTCAAGATGTGTGTTACTGTAGCCCAGGCATGGGCAAACTTCAGGCCCCCAGGTTATTACTTTATTTATCGTGTCAGGCAACCAAACAGTTGTATTACATTTTGACAGAACAAACAAACAAACAAACCTACAAAAGACATAGAGTTTGCAAGCTTGGTAGTTGATGAAATGTCCTTTGACCAGCATCTGACCCCTTGGAGTGCCTCTGGTGTTACTATAAGAAGATCCTCCATTGTGCATCATGTGGCAGGGCTCAGGGTGCATTGCAGCAGGTGGTCAGTAGTTGGCTCTTCTCCGCACTCGCATGTCGTGGATTCCACTTTGTGGCCCCATTTCTTGAGGTTGGCTCTGCATCTCGTGGTGCCAGAGCGCAGTCTGTTCAGCGCCTTCCAAGTCACCCAGTCTTCTTCTGTGTGCCCAGGGGTGAATCTCTCATCTGGTATCAGCCATGGGTTGAGGTTCTGGGTTTGAGCCTGCCACTTTTGGACTCTCGCTTGCTGAGGTGTTCCAGCGAGTGTCTCTGTAGATCTTATAAAACTATTTCTTGATTTAAATCATCGTTCTTCTTACTTGTCACCTGCTGTTTCTCCTTGACAGTAAGAGGCGCTCAGCTGCAGGCGAGCTCCGGACCTGTCTGCATGCCCTGCCACACTCTATGAGAGTGTGTGTGTGGCAAGGTGTGCAGGTAGGCCTGGAACATGCTTGCAGCTGAGCTTTGGGCCTGCCTGCATACTTTACCATACATGCCCTGCTACACTCTTTGAGAGTGGGTGCGTGGCGGGGCCTGGAGACAGATGTGGAGTGCGCCTGCAGATGAGCTCCAGGCCTGCCTGCACATCCCACCACACACACTCTCTCTTTCCAAAGCAAGGAGGCAATTTCAGCTCGACACAAAAGCAGGCTTTCATGTTGAGCAGATTTTCAAGTGGGGAGGGGGCTTCCCGTTTTATGCTTATGAAGAAACTACAAGAGAGGAGATTCCATCTGAACACGAGGAAGAACTTCCTGACTGTGAGAGCCGTTCAGCAGTGGAACTCTCTGCCTTCCCCGGAGGGAGTGTGGTGGGGGCTCCTTCTTTGGAAACTTTGAAACAGAGGCTGGATGGCCATCTGTCAGGGGTGCTTTGAATGCAATATTCCTGCTTCTTGGCAGAATGGGGTTGGACTGGATGGCCCAGGAGGTCTCTTCCAACTCTTTGATTCTATGAAATGGAAAACATGAAAGAAATGGTAGAAACGGTAGGAACAATTTCACGTACATGTCTATCAGATAGACAAGAGCATGCCTAAGGAAACGTGTTCTTGCACACTTGCAAGAACTAGTGTGCTGCCAGTTGTGTAAGTGGATAACAGAATTCTGCTCGGCTACAGTTTTCCTCTGCTAATATTATTCTGGAATTAGGCCAGTGGGACAGTATCCTTGATAACAATCGATCAGATGTAAGGAAATCAATAGCCTAGCCACCATCAGTGGGTAGAGGTAGCTTTGTAAATTGTAATGCTCTGAAAGGCAATAGGACATAGTTACAAGGTAGGATGCCCCCTCCTGCTAAGAAACACTTGGCACTGCCTCATTGACAGAGCAACGGCATCATAAACCGCAATGAATGTGCAGAAACAGGACAAAACAGGACAGTTTAGTTCAGTGGTTCTCAACCTGGGGGTCGGGACCCCTGAAGGGGTCGTGAGGGGGTGTCAGAGGGGTCGCCAAAGCCCATCATGGACAGTATTTTTCGTTGGTCATGGGAGTTCTGTGCGGGAAGTTTGGCCTAATTCTGTCATTGGTGGGCTTCAGAATGCTCTTTGGTAGTAGGTGAACTATAAATCCCAGCAACTACAACTCCCAAATGTCAAGGTCTATTTCCCCCGAACTTCACCAGTGTTCACATTTGGGCATATTGAATATTCATACCAAGTTTGATCCAGATCCATCATTGTTTGAGTCCACAGTGCTCTCTGGATGTAGGTGAACTACAACTCCAAAACTCAAGGTCAATGCCCACCAAACCCTTCCAGTATTTTCTGTTGGTCATGGGAGTTCTGTGTGCCAAGTTTGGTTCAATTCCATTGTTGGTGGAGTTCAGAATGCTCTTTGAATGTAGGTGAACTATAAATCCCAGCAACTACAACTCCCAAATGACAAAATCAATCCTCCCATCCCAACCCCACCAGTATTCAAATTTGGGCATATTGGGTATTTGTGCCAAATTTGGTCCAGTGAATGAGAATACATCCTGCATATCAGATATTTACATTATGATTCATAACAGGAGCAGAATTACAGTGATGAAGTAGCAACGAAAATAATTTTATGGTTGGGGGTCACCACAACATGAGGAACTGTATTAAGGGGTCGCGGCATTATTTATTTATTTTATTTATTTACAGTTCTTATATTCCGCCCTTCTCCTCACCCCGCAGGGGACTCAGGGCGGATTACAGTCAACACATGTATGGCAAACATTCAATGCCAGTTTGACAAACAACATTTAACAGACAAAGGCTATTTAACTTTTTTTTTTTTCTGGCCGCCAGGGGAGCTGCTGCTTTTCATCGTCCATCAACGACACCGATGAAGTTCTTCCGCATTCCACATTCCCCGGAGTCTTTTTTCTTTATGGCCTCATAAATTAGTTAAATTTTGCCTCCCACACAAGGTGGTACCTTATTTTCCTACTTGACAGATGCAACTGTCTTTCGGGTTGCAAAGGTCGACAACAGGCTACACAATTGGTTGGAAACCCACTCCAACCCGGGCTGGCTTCGAACTCATGACCTTTTGGTCAGAGTGATCTTAATGCAGCTGACACTCAGCCAGCTGCGCCACAATCCCGGTGCTTTGAATACTGGTGGGGTTGGGATGGGAGGATTGATTTTGTCATTTGGGAGTTGTAGTTGCTGGGATTTATAGTTCACCTACATTAGGAACCTTGAGAACCACTGATTTACTTAATTACATAAAACTAATTATAAAAATGTTTATATAATATAAACATTTACGAAATAATTACAAAATAATTACGAAATAATTACGAAATAAATTGAAAAAATTGTTTCGAATCTAATTTACTCCTCACATGGAGTAAATTAATTACTCCTCACATTACTCCACAAATTACTCCTCACATGGAGCCCTAAACGGTTCCGGCCCAAAATACCTTTCGGACCGCATCTCGGCCTATGAGCCCACGAGGGCCTTGAGATCGTCTGGGGAGGCCCTTCTCTCGATCCCGCCTGCCTCACAGGCACGTCTGGTGGGGACGAGAGAGAGGGCCTTCTCGGTGGTGGCCCCCCGGCTGTGGAACACCCTCCCTATTGACATCAGACAGGCGCCCTCCCTTATGGCTTTCCGTAAAAGCCTAAAGACCTGGCTATTTGAGAAGGCATTTAACTGAGTGCTACATTGACTGGTAAGGACAACTGGAACGGTATATGGATTACGAGATTGGTTATGATTCTATGTTGTGACGATGCGGATTAGTTAGTGTAATTTAGATTAGTGTGTATTATTGATATGTTGATTTCTTGTTGTGCTTTATTGTAAACTGTTTTTATATGTTGTACACCGCCGCGAGTCGCCCTAGGGCTGAGAGCGGCGGTCAACAAATGCAGCAAATAAATAAAATAAATAAATAATATGACAATAACAATAACAATAACAACTTTATTTTTATGCCCCGCAGCCTGTTTATTGGGGAGAAATTGTTGACTAGTTTTTCTTTGCCTTCCTGATCCCTCTCCCTCTTACCTGCAGATGTACAACACATTAAAAGGAGAGATATCATTCTGAAGAGAGAGCTTGGCGAAGGCGCTTTCGGGAAGGTCTTCCTAGCCGAGTGCTACAACCTCAGCCCCACCAAGGACAAGATGCTCGTGGCTGTGAAGGTAAACATCCCAGTGACACCCAAGCTGTACTACAGAGCTTTGATATTAGGCTTGGGCGGTTTTGTTCGTTAATTTCGTAATTCGTTATTAATTCGTATTTAAATTAGCTTATGATCCAATATTGAGCCATGCAGGAATAGTGTGAGGAGTAAATTAGATTCGAAACAATTTTTTCAATTTATTTCGTAATTATTTCGTAATTATTTCGTAATTATTTCGTAATTATTTCGTAATTATTTTGGCATGTCTGGTGCAAGTTTTATAGTTGTTGTTTGTTTTATCACACCAACAGTCAACCACAGAGGGAGAGGGAAGCTTCAGTTTTCCTCCTGTCCCATTTGGAGGGTTTTTTAGCATACTGCGCAATCGCGTCCGCCATTAACGAATCGATTCGTAATTATACGAAATTTCGTATATTTCGAAATTTTTAAAAGGAAAATTTCGGAATTATTAAAAAAAAAAAAACGCAAGCGCCCCCTAAAAACAAAACGAGTTTAGAACCAAATTTTTCCGTGGTTACCCAAGCCTATTTGATATATCTGATCACAAAAAGAGGCTGTATCTGTGGCTGACTTTGAAAGCCATGGAGGTTGGTCCATTTGGCCTATCTCGGCCTATCAGCCCACCAGGACCCTCAGATCTTCTGGGGAGGCCTTGCTCTCTATCCCGCCTGCTTCACAGGTGCGGGTGGCGGGCACGAGAGACAGGGCCTTTTCTGTGGTGGCCCCTCGGCTCTGGAACGCTCTTCCCATGGAGGTAAGATCAGCCTCCTACTGATGGTATTCCGAAGAAGACTAAAAACTTGGATGTTCAAGCAGGGATTTGGTTAATTCGGTGCAATGAATGTGTTGATTACGGATTGGTAATATGGATGATGAAATTGGACCACGATTTTAGTTAGGAGATGTATTGGATTGTGATTTACGTGTAATATTGTGTACTATGTTTTTATGGTTTTAATTGTATACTGTGCACTGTATATTTTGTTGTAAACCGCGTTGAGTCGCCAGTTAGGCTGAGAAACGGCGGTATACAAGGACAGTAAATAAATAAATAAATAAATAAATAAATAAATGTGGGTAGATAGGGCATCCTGCCCCTCCAGTCCCAGTGAGAATTAGGCTCCATTGAACATCAGTTAGAGTCATCCACAACTGTGGGAATCTGTGACCAGTCTCTTAACACAGACAGATTGCTGGTTTCTGTTACTCTAAGCATCTTACACAGCATATTATTGGAGAACACAGAAATGCTGGACCACTCTCACAACCACCATGTCAGGCCACACAGAGGAGCCATTGAAATCCACAAGAAGCAGCTGGACAATTTCAACAGAAAGGAGGAAACCATGAAAATGAACAAAATCTGGCTGCCAGTATTAAAAAATTCTAAAATTGCAACAGCAAAAACAGCAGAGAGGAAACAGGCAGGGACATCTAATTACCTTTCAAGAAGAGTTTGCTCCAGGCACAGTCAGCCCATTGTATGCTAATCAAGGTGGTCAGTTGAAATATTCACACCTGGCTCCAGCAGACAAGAGTCCTTTGTCCCACCCTGGTCATTCCACAGATATATAAACCCTTTTTCCTAGTTCCAACAGACCTCACTACCTCTGAGGATGCTTGCCATAGATGCAGGCGAAACGTCAGGAGAGAATGCCTCTAGACCATAGCCATATAGCCCAAAAAAACCTACAACAACCCAAGAAGGGAGTCAGGGCGGGAAGGGGTGGGGCGAAGGGAGGGGGCGTGTCTTCAAAGTTGCCCCCTCCCTTTGCCCCACCCCTTCCCGCCCTGACTCACTCCTTCCCTCCTCCCTTCCCCTCCGGAAAGACACGCCCCCTCCCTTCGCCCCACCCCTTCCCTCCGTGAACTTGAGCATGGGAGTTGTAGTTCACCTACATCCAGAGAGCACTGTGGACTCAAACAATGATGGATCTGGACCAAACTTGACACAAAAATTCCATATGCCTAAATATGAATCAGATGGAGTTTGGAGGAAATAGACCTTGACATTTGGGATTTGTAGTTACTGGGATTTATAGTTTACTACAATTAAAGAGACAGAAATGGGGCAAATTTCCAACACAGAACCCCCATGACCAACAGAAAATACTCAAGTTTACACACAAGCATAAAGAAGGGTGAGGAAGGAGGGATGCCAGAGAGAGAAAGAGAGAGAGAGAGAGAGAAGGGAAAGGAAGGAGTGTGAGAGAGAGAAAGAGGGAAAGAGAACGAGGGAAGGAAGGAAGAGAGGCCAGGCAGAGACTTCAAAACTCTTACTAAAGGCCACAGCAACGCGTGGCAGGGGACAGCTAGTATAATATAAGCCACATAAACAGTAGAAACAATAAAAACACAAGTCCTCAGCATCTCATTATTAAAATCATTTTTCTGTTGCATCGTCCAGTCGTTCTGTGGGTCTAAATTAGCCTGTTACACTGCATTTGCAAATGCTTGGTCAAACAGCCAGGTTCTAACTCTTTTTTGAAATGTTAGGAGGGAGGGTGCTGATCTGATATCCCTAGGGAGGGTGGTCCATAGCCGAGGGGCCACCACTGAGAAGGCCCTGTCTCTTGTTCCCACCAGTCACATCTGCAAAGGAGGCGGGATCGAGAGCAGGGCCTCCTCAGACAAGCTCCTAGCTAGTTTACAGGGAGAAATACGTTTGGACATGTAACCTGGACTGGAACTGTTTAGCACTTTAAAGGCTAAAGCCAGCACTTTGTGCCTGGTAGCAAACTGGCAGCCAGTGGAGTTGGCGCAACAGAGGAGTTGTATGCTCCCTGAGCACCGCTCCTGTTAGTAATCTGGCTGTTGTCCATTGGACCATTTGAAGCTTCCGAACAGTCTTCAAAGGAAGCCCCAAGTAGACTGTGTTGCAGTAGTCTATACGGGATGTAACCAGAGTGAGGACTGCCATAATAATAATAATAATAATAATAATAATAATAATAATAATAATTACATTTTATTTATATTCCACCCTTCTCCATTACGGGACACAGAGCGGATTACATGAGGCCGAGCCCACAATAAAAACAATACAAGCAATACAAGCAGTAAGAAATACAATACAAAGCAATTAAAAATAAACAATAGCGTAAACATTAAACTAATACAGTGCACATTTAAAACTATGACTGGGCCAAATGTAATTACAGTTTAAAAAATAATGCTAGGCATGGATAAGATGCAGGAGATGGGGCGTTGATGGAGAAATACAAGCATTCCTAAATTAATATAAAGTGCTTTGTGGGACATAGTGCTAAGAGTACATTATTCTGGGAAGGCACACTGGAACAACCACGTTTTCAAGCTCCTCCTGAAGACTGCCAGAGTTGGGGCATGCCTGATGTCCTGATGAGTTCCAGAGTCGAGGGGCCACCACCGAAAAGGCCCTCTCCCTCGTCCCCACCAATCGCGTTTGCAATGCAGGTGGGAGCGTGAGTAGGGTTTCTCCAGATGTTCAAAGAGATATGATAGCCATGTACAAATATGTGAGAGGAAGCCACAGGGAGGAGGGAGCAAGCTTGTTTTCTGCTTCCTTGGAGACTAGGACGCGGAACAATGGCTTCAAACTACAAGAGAGGAGATTCCATCTGAACATTGAGGAAGAACTTCCTGACTGTGAGAGCCGTTCAGCAGTGGAACTCTCTGCCCCGGAGTGTGGTGAGGCTCCTTTGGAAGCTTTTAAACAGAGGCTGGATGGCCATCTGTCAGGGGTGATTTGAATGCAATATTCCTGCTTCTTGGCAGAAGGGGTTGGACTGGATGGCCCATGAGGTCTCTTCCAACTCTTTGATTCTATGATTCTATGATTCTATGTGGTCGTACACAGAAATGTGGTCACGCAGGTAGGCAGGTCCCAAACTGTTCAGGGCTTTGTAGGTAAGAACCTGCACCTTGAATTGGGATCGGAAAATGAATGGCAGCCAGTGGAGCTCCTTAAACAGGAGGGTTGACCGCTCCCTGTAAGGAGCACCAGTTAACAACTTGACCGCCGTCTGTTGGACCAACTGAAATTTCCGAGCCGTTTTCAAGGGCAGCCCCACGTAGAGCGCATTACAGTAGTCCAAAGTTGCCATCTTCCCAGTGTATTGTCATCCATCTAAATATGTCTGGTTATGTTATCCCCTGGAGAAGACAATTAAAATTAAATTATGTGGTGCCCTGAATAGATGTGGGAGAAAGGAATGACACAGAGATCCTTAGCTTGCCTAGTGTATAGTTGTTGTTGATGATTACAATGTTTTGAAAAGTTTCCCAACTATGAAACACAGTTCTTCCATAGAGCACTTCATTCTCCAGTCAACTTGATATGGATGTATATTTTTTTTCATAGCCTAACTCAATAGAGCCAAATTTCCCAAAATATATGCAATAAGATGGGTTTAATTTGAAATGGTTCTTTCTAAATTCTTGAAGCTTGCTTGAGTTTCAGGATGGATTCACATGCCATGCGTCAGCGGAAGAGGTGCCTAATCTTCTCTTTCTTATTCTTTGTCAATATAATCAAATCATAATGGCAGAGAATGTTTTTGTAATATTACTTTCTGTTGAATTACGATCCGGCATTTCAGTCCAAAGGGATCCTTGAGCAGAAGTACATAATATCCCAAATGTAATCAAACTTCTTTAACGCTGGAGGCAATGTCTGTTTATTCATGTATTATTTTACTTAAAGCATTTATATACTGCCTTATCTAGATTTCAGGGTGGTGTGCTATCAATTATCTCTCCACTGAATTTACAGTCAGCTCTTCCTATCCATGAGATTCAATTTACCATGGATTAAAAATATTCATTCAGGGGGAGAAAATCCCAAAAACAAACCTTGGGTTGGCTGCATCCTGAGCATTGATGTGTAGGGATAATCTGCCATAGTCATCTGTTACTTCACAGATCCTGAGGCTTTCCAACCCTCCTTTGTTGGCCATTTTATAGAAAGGATGCCATCTTACTATACCATTTTATTTAATGGAGATTGAGCATCCACAGGGTTTGGTATCCATGGGGGATCCTTTGTTGTTGTTCATTCATTCAGTCATCTCCGACTCTTCGTGACCTCATGGACCAGCCCACGCCAGAGCTCCCTGTCGGCCAACACCACCCCCAGCTCCTTCAAGGTCAGTCCAGTCACTTCAAGGATGCCATCCATCCACCTTGCCCTTGGTCAGCCCCTCTTCCTTTTGCCTTCCACTTTCCCCAGCATCATTGTCTTCTCTTAAGCTTTCCTGTCTCCTCATGATGTGGCATTCAAAGGACTTCAACTTTCCCTCTCGTCTTCTTCCCTCCAATGAGCTTTAGTCGGGCTTTCTTTCCTGGAGGATGGACTGGTTGGTTCTCCTCGCAGTCCAAGGCACTCTCAGAGCTTTCCTCCAACACCACAGCTCAAAAGCATCTCTCTTCCTTCGCTCAGCCTTCCTTCTGGTCCAGCTCTCACATCCGTAGGTGACTACAGGGAAGACCATGGCTTAGACTAGGCAATGGATCTTGGTGGCCAGTCTGATGTCTCTACTCTTGACTCTTTGATCGAGACTGGACATTGCTCTCCTCCCAAGAAGGAAGCGTCTCCTGATTTCCTGGCCACAGTCTTCATCTGCACTCATCTTTGCACCTAGAAATACAAAGTCTGTCACGGCCTCCACATTTTCTCCCTCTATTTTCCAGTTGTCAATCATTCTTGTTGCCATAATCTTGGTTTTTTTGACGTCTAGCTGCAACCCGGCTTTTGCGCTTTCTTCTTTCACCTTGATTAGAAGGCTCCTCAGCTCCTCCTCGCTTTCGGCCATCAGAATGGTGTCATCTGCATATCTGAGGTTGTTAATGTTTCTTCCAGCAATCTTAACCCCAGCTTTGCATTCATGAAGCCCCGCACATCCTCGCATGATGTGTTCTGCATACACGTTAAAAAGGTTGGGTGAGAGGATGCAGCCTTGCCGGACGCCTTTCCCAATCTTGAACCTGTCTGTTGTCTGTGGTCAGTTCTGACTGTGGCTCCTTGGTCCTTGTACAGATTCCTCAGGAGAGAGGGAAGGTGGGGGATCCTAGAAGCAATAATAATAATAATAATAATAATAATAATAATAATAATAATATACATTTTATTTATATTCCACCCTTCTCCATTACGGGACTCAGAGCGGATTACAGCGTTTACATACATAGGCAAACATTCAGTGCCTTTACAGTCATGTATAATGAGACACACAAACACCAACCAAGGCAGAGGCTTCTCCTTTCATTTCCAGCTTCAGGAGGTGGGCTCATCTTTGGCTCTAGGGTGTTCTGTCGCGCGCTGGCCTGTAATAATTGTCTTTTGAATAGGACGTGCACTTTGTGCCCAGCGGGAAGGCAGGGCGCCTCGAAAGAGAGGCCCTCAAGGATTTTCCTGTACAATAGTCTTGGAGGCTTGAAAGGTTTAACAAAGTCCTTTATTATTGAACAAATTAAACAAATACTTCTCAGATCTTCAATGAGTCAAACAAATGCTTCAAGGCTTTGAATCAACTGGTGGCTTTCTTATTCTTGTCCACAAGGAACAGGCAACTGGTTTTGTTAACTGTTCCTTCTCTTTAAGGGGAAAACCCTTTTTTAACCTCTCCCGGACTGTCTACTATCTCGGCTTTGCTGATGTGGGCCCTACACCAGATCCAAACTGTGTCTTGAGCACTGAGTAGACCTACCAGTCAAGGCTTGTAGATTCTCCAGCTGGAGTTCTTTGGGTCTGTAAAACTGTTTTCCCCCAGAATTTCTTCAGAAAGTTTAGGGCTGCTTCCCTCAGATGCTGTAAGGCTGAGAGGCTGTAAGTTCCCAGCCAGAGCTTTGGGACTTTTCCCCCTGGAATTTCTTAAGAAATGAAGCTTTTCTGCAGGTGAAGCTGGTCCACGTGCTATAGCTTAGTTTCCTTCTGTAAGACTGACTAAAATGGTTCCCTTTCCTTCCCACAGCCCTGGAAAAAGGGGCGGAACCAAAATTTAACAATGATAGACAGGTCATTGGCCCTATGATTGCAAACCAAGGGAAGTCATCTTACTGCAAATGCATGGAACCTTGGAATATATGCAAATACACAATAGAAAGAAAATGAAGTTGGAGCTCCTGGTACAGCCGTACCAGCACAAGGGAGGTGATTTTCTCCTTTTTCAAGCCGAGGAGCATGCATTGTCACTTCCTGGTTGTGTGGTCAGCAAGACTGCTTGGAGCATCTCTTTGCCTTTTACTGCCAAAGCAGTACCTATTTATCTACTCACAGTTCGAAAACATGCAAATGTGAGTATATCAATAGGTACCACTCTGGTGGGAAGGTAACGGCGCTCCATGCAGTCATGCTGGCCACATGACCTTGGAGGTGTCTCGCTCCCACTGTTAGCCCCAGCTTCTGTTAATGTAGCAGTTCGAAAACATGCAAATGTGAGTAGATCAATAGGTAACAGTGCTCCATGCATCATGCCAGCCACATGACCTTGGAGATTTCTAGCTCCCATTGTTAGCCCCAGCTTCCATTAACCTAGAAGTTTGAAAACAAGTAAGTGCAAGTAGATCAATAGGTACCGCTCTGGTGGGAAGGTAACGGTGCTCCATGCAGTCATGCTGGCCACATGACCTTGGAGGTGTCTAGCTCCCGTTGTTAGCCCCAGCTTCTGTTAACCTAGCAGTTCAAAAACATGCAAATGTGAGTAGATCAATAGGTATTGCTCCGGCAGGAAGGTAACGGCACTCCATGCAGTCATGCTGGCCACATTACCTTGGAAGTGTCTATGGACAATGCTGGCTCTTCAGGTTAGAAATGGAGATGAGCACCAACCCCCAGAGTTGGACACGACTGGACTTAATGTCAGGGGAAAACCGTTACCTTTACTACACCATTAAAATCCTATAAATTATTCAAATGCTACATCTATCAATGGCGAGATACACCCTTAAAATGCTACATAATACGTCATGGACTAGCACCTGCATAATTAAAAACCAAAAAGAAACAGCATTGGTAAAACTATATAAACAGCCACTATTAGTTCAAAGCATCCCCAGCACAGTCGACTGCAATATCAGAAATTAGTCTTGCCCAGATTTTCTGTGCTGCCAGGGCGAAAAGAGACAACTTGTGAGTAACCACAGGGTTAGTGTCAGCCAAGAGATAGAAAATCTTTTCTGACACAGTATTGGTTTGAAAGAGACAAAGAATAGGATTTTAGTTCTTGGCTCAGAGTACAGAGGGCAGGGAAACAAATAGTGAGGCAAATCCTCAATTTCCGGGGCCACGCAAACACATAAACGAAGAGCCAGAGGGGTGCCTGTGTATCTACCATCCATCACAAAACAAAGGGCTGTGAAGGCTTGCCTACATTTTGGAAATGTGAGCCTAGTCAGGTAAATAGCCCTACAATAGTCAAGTTTGTACAGCCTGAACCCAGGGGGAAAATTTGGAAAATTATTAGTACAGAGAAGCCATTGAAATCCACAAGCATGTGGACAATTTCAACAGAAAGGAGGAAACCATGAAAATGAACAAAATCTGGCTAACAGTATTAAAAAACTCCAAAATTACTACAGCAAAACAACAGAGAGGAAACAAACAAGGACATCTAATCACCTCTCAACTAAAGTTTGCTCCAGGCACTGTCAGACCATTATATGCTAATCAAAGTGGTCAGTTGAAACATTCCCACCTAGCTCCAGCAGACAAGAGTTCTTTGTCCCACCCTGGTCATTCCACAGATATATAAACCTTTTTTCCTAATTCCAACAGACACCACAACCTCTGAGGGTGCTTGCCATAGATGCAGGCGAAACGTCAGGAGAGAATGCCTCTAGACCATGGCCATATAGCCCGAAACAACCTACAACAACCCATTCCCATCTAGCTCCAGCAGACAAGAGTTCTTTGTCCCACCCTGGTCATTCCACAGATATATAAACCCTTTTTCCTAATTCCAACAGACACCACAACCTCTGAGGATGCTTGCCGTAGATGCAGGCGAAACGTCAGGAGAGAATGCCTCTAGACCATGGCCATATAGCCCGAAAAAACCTACAACAACCCAATGATTCCGGCCATGAAAGCATTCGACAAGACATATTAGTAGCCTGCCTATCATGGTAGATTAAAAATATATTCATTGAGCTTCTCCCTTGGTTCAAGATAGAGGGCTTCTCAGACAGAATGGGTGGAAATCAAGCAACTTCGGGTATCTTGCATTACAGGTTTTGCATTTTGCTAGCTCATATATATATACGTGTGTGTGTGTCTATGTATATGTATATGTATATGTATGCTTCTTTCTTTCT